CATGTGGGAACAGAACAAGAACCTGAAGGAAAGAGGGAGAGAAAGGCAAGTAAAGAGACAAACACAAACATGGACAAGAGTACTCAACCCAATCTTTAGAGACGAAGAAAATCTGAACAGAAGTAATGATATCCAAGCTGAGATCTAAAGGAAAAGGAGAGAGAGAACAGGTTATGGCAGAAGAACAGTGTTCCAAACAATGAGAACATCATGGTCAACAACCTCAGAAGTGAGAAAGAGCATAGAAAATTTAGGAAATACAAGTAATTCAGGTCAATGAATACATTATGCTTTATGTCTTTCTGCTCAAACTCTCTATACTGTTAAGCTTAAACTGGCTATGAAAATAAACTGTTTATGTACTTGACTTCTAGGAGGTTCTCTTCCTATGCCTTTAACAATTCCTTTTCAAGGAAAGAACCCTTCTGAACTCATTTTATGAAGATGGTATCACCCTGATACCAAAGCCAGACAAAGACTCAAAGGAAAGAAAATTTCAGACAATGTCCCTGATAAACACTGATGTAAAAATTATCAATAAAATACTGGCAAATTGCATATAAAACATATTTAAAAGATAGTGTACCATGATCAAGTGAGGTTCATCCCAGGGATCAAGTTTAGTTCAATATATGGAAATCAATAAACACAACTGACACATCAAGAAAGACAAGAATCACATGATTACCTCAAGAGATGCAGAAAAACATTCAAAAAAATTGAGAATCCATTCATGCTCAAAACACTAGAAAAATTTGGCATAGTAGAAACATAACTCAACATTGTAAAAGCTGTATATGCTAAACCCAAGACCAACATCATTCTAAATGCAGAAAATTTGAAATCATTCCCTCTAAAAACTGGAATAAGAGGGAATTCATGTCTCCACCACCACCACCACTCTGTGATTCAACATAGTCCTGGAAACTCGAGTCAGAGCAATCAGAAAAAAAAGAAAGAAACCAAAGGGATATGAATGGGAAAAGAAGAACTCAAAATACTCCTATTTGCCAAGGACATGATTCTATATTTAGAACACCCAAAAAAAACTCTACAATAAAGATCATAGAACTTGTAAATGAACTCATCAAAGTAGCAGGGTTTAAAATCAAAACCAATAAATCAATTGCATTTCTATACACCAAGGATATATAAGCTGAAAGAGAAATCAGGAAAACTATCCCCTTTATAATAGCCTCAAAAATATAATATATTTGTGAATCAACCTAACAAAAGAGGTGTAAGACCTCTATAATTAAAACTACAGAACACTAAAGAAAGAAACTGAAGAAGACTTCAGATAATGGAACTATCTCCCCATGTTCCTGGATAGGCAGAATCAATGTTATCAAAATGGCCATACTATCAAAAGTGCTATGCAGATTTAATGCAATTCCTATAAAGATACCAATGATGTTCTTCACAGGAATAGAAAAAGCAATCATGAAATTCTTTTGGAAAAATAACAGGCTCAGAATAGCATGCTTAGCCAAAAAATGATGCAGGAGGCACCACAATACAAGAACTTATATTATACTACAGACTATAGTAACAAAAACAGCATGGTATTGGCACAAAAACAGGCATGAAGACCAACAGAACAGAATGGAACACACAGAGACAAACCCACCTAAATACAGTTATCTCATACTAGACAAAAGCACCACAAACATACATTGGAGAGAAGATAGCCTCTTCAACAAATGGTGCTGGGAAAAATGGAAATCCAGACATACTAAAATGAAATTGAACCCTTATCTTTCACCGAACACAAAACTCAGTTCAAACTGGATTAAGGACTCAGGCATTAGACCAGAGACCCTGTGCCTACTAGAAGAAAAATATAGGCCCAACAATCTATCATGTAGACTTAGGAACCTAATTCCTCAATAAGACTCCTAAAGCACAAGAAGTAAAATCAAGAATCAATAACTGGGATGGTATCAAACTAAAAAGCTTCTTCACAGCAAAGGAAACAATTGATAACATGTACAGAGATCCTACAGACTGGGAGAAAATCTTCACCACCAGTACCTCAGATACGGCATAATTTCCGGGATATACAAAAACTCAAAAAATGTAACACCAAAAAAAAAAAAGAAGAAGAAGAAAGAAGAAGGAGGAGGAGGAGGAGGAGGAGGAGGAGGAGAAGAAGAAGAATCCAATCAATAAACAGGCTAAGGAACTTAGAAGTACTTTATAGAAGAAGAAATACAAATGGCCAATAAATATATTAAAAATGTTCAACATCTTAAGCAATTGGAGAAATGCAAATTAAAACAGTGTACACTGAGATTCCAACTCATTCTAGTCAAAATGGCAATTATAAAGAATACAAGTAACAATAAATGTTAACAAAGATATGGGGAGAAATGTACTCTCATACATCGTTGGTGGGACTGCAAATTGGTGCAACCACTATGGAAGTCAGTAAGAATATTCCTTACAAAACTTGGAATGGAACCACCATTAGACCCAATTTTCCCACTTCTTGGTCTATACCCAAAGGACTTTAAAACAGCATATAACAGTGACACAGCCACATCCATGTTTACAGAAGCTCAACTCACACTACCCAAGCTATGGAAACAACCTAGGTGTCCTTCAAAGGATGAATGGATAAAGAAAATGTGACATACATACACACTGGAATGTTACTCACCATAAAGAAGAACAAAATTATGGTATTTGCCTGTAAATGGATGGAACTGGAGAATAACATGCTAAGTGAAATAAGCCAACCCCCAAAAAAACAGAGGCCAAATGTTCCCTCTGATTTGTGAATGCAAACCCAAAACAAGGGAAGTAGGGGAGGGGAATAACAGAAACCCACTGGATTAGACAAAGGGAAATGAAAGGAAGGGAGGAATAGGGGAATAGGAAATAGAGTAGAATTAATGGGTCATAATTTTCCTAGCCTTGAATTTGTGTTCACAACCAGAGTAACTCCACCTCATGTACAACCACAAAAGTGGGATCCTAAATAGAATAAGTTATACTCTATGTATGTAAATTCTGCCAAAATACATTCTACTGTCATGTATAACTAAAAGAACAAATAAAAAAAGAACATGTAAGATATAAACCAAAGCCACATGGTTAAAACCATTTCTAATTTTTAATGAGAAATATAAAATCTCTTGAGCATATGTTGGGGAAAAATTCCTTTTCAACCTTCTCTACCGTGTCCTAGTTATCATCTACACTTCTAGTCACTGGAGTGAATTGACCTCAACTTCAGGTACTGTCCTTTTTCTTCTGCACTCACTCTCAAAGATTGCACCCAGGGATCACATTTGCTCACAGCTACCAAATATTCCATCTTCTCTGAACTCTTGACTCTTAGTTCCAACCCTTTGCTTCACTTCCCCACTTGACTATCTAACAGACATCTCAAAGATAAATCCAAAACCTGACTCTTGACATTTTCCCCACAAATTTTTTTTCCTGTTTGCTCATCTTAGTAAATAGTAATTTTGTTCTTCTAACTGCTCAGGGCAAAATCTTAACATCATCCTTAACCCTACTCTTTCTCTGATACTCACCTATAATCCATTTGCAAATCCTATCCATTTTAACCTGAAAACATTCAGAATTCTATCACTCTGCAACTGCCTGCACCACTACCACTCTAATTCAAGCCATTGTCATCTCTAGCCTGGTACTTTCCAACAGCTTCATAACTGTGCTTCTGCTTCTGCCTTGTTCTCTACATCCATTCTCAACACAGTAGCTAGAGATATCCTTTTTAAAATATGTCAGATAATATCATTCTTCTGCTCAACCCTCTTTTAGCTTACAATGTAACTCAGGGTAAAGGCCAAATTCCTTAAAAGTAGCCCATGAGTTTTGTTTTGTTTTGTTTTGTTTTTATGATCTTGCTAATGAATATATCCCTGATTTTCTTCTTATGACATTCCCCCTTACTCATTCTGATTCAGCCACACTGACATAGCTGGTCCTCAAACGTAGTCAGTTCCTTCTTTCAAATATTTAAGTGGTACACTCTTTTACTTTATTCAAATCTCTGCTCAGATGTCAACTCCTCAATGAAGCCTTCTCTCTATTCCCAGTATAAAACATCTCCTCTTTGCCCCATCCCTCTTGTCCTGTAGCCCTTATCTGTGTTAAACTGCATTAAATAAATATATATATTATATATATATATTTCCCTATCCTAGAATATAAATCTTCTAGAGAGCACAGGTGTGGTTTCTTTACTCTTGCAACCAGAGCAATAGAATACTTCCCAGATCATAAGCCTACAATAAATATCTGATAGATTAATAAATAAAAACTAAAAATATTATAAATTTTTATGACAAAACTATTAACAAGTTTCTATTTTAAGAGCCACTTAAAATATGAAAAACTAAGTAATACTGTGACTTTTTTCCTTATAATCTACACACATAAACACACACACAAGGTTCACTGGCAAGGCCTTAACAATCAAAAGACTTTATAATACTCTTCCCCTTCCCTTGGTTTGGCACTTCCTGATACATTATAGGGATACATTCAGTTTCTATGTTATATTAAAATCAATCAATATTTCACCTATAATTCATCTGTATTAGTTGATAACAGTACTTTGTAAACATTTATAAAACATCAATATAGAAAAATAGCAAAACCATAGTCAGACAATTCAAAGAAGAAATACAAACAGTGCTGGGAATGTGGCTCAAGCGGTAGTGCACTCGCCTGGCATGCATGTGGCCCAGGTTTGATCCTCAGCACCACATACAAACAAAGATGTTGTGTATGCCAATAACTAAAAAATAAATATTAAAAAAAAGAAATACAAACAGTAGATAAATATATGAAAATGTTCATTTAAGTTAATGTTCCTTAATGTTTAATAGTCTAAATGGCTTAGGGAAAGGGAAAGCAGAATCGCTTAAGAAAACCAATACCTGCAAGAAGTTTCTTATAGAAGCAAGAAAATGAAATAATTGAAAAACTTACTCCCTAGCAAGGGTATGGGATTGAACTACCTGTGATGGAGCAATAGATGATGTGAGGAGCAATCTTGTCTATATCTTCATACCCCAGGCCCATTGTGGACAGTTTTCCAGGGACATAGTTTTCCACAAATACATCACAAACAGCTGCAAGCTGAAGGAAGAGGTAAAGATGAATCAGACTTCTTAAGGGACTTACAAATTGTAACAACTTTCCCACATAATAGGACTTTAATTTCAACAAATACAATTGATTCTTAATTTGCAATAGTCCATAAAAAATAGAGAATAGATAAAGTAGATTCATATAAACATGAGAAGCCATAATCAACTATTTGAAGTATTTGTCAGTAAAATAATAGCTATTAACATGATATTAAGTAGTTTTTACATCCTTCAAAAGTAAGAAATATTTAGGCTAAGTGATCTGTCTAAATATATTTTAAGAAGTATAGGTAGCCAGGCACAGTGGCACATGCGTGTAATCCCAGTGGCTCAGGAGGCTGAGGCTGAAGGATTGTGAGTTCAAAGCCAGCCTCAGCAATTAAGCAAGGCCCAAGCAATTTAGCAAGATCCTGTCTCAAAAAAAAATTTAAATGGGCTATGGATGTGACTGAGAGGTTAAGAGCCTATATATATATAGTATTCAACATGGTCCTTGAAACTCCAGCCAGAACAATCAGGCAAAAGAAAAAAATTTTAAAAGATACAAATTAAAAAAGAAGTTAAATAATCTGTTTGGTAATGACATGATCTTTCATTTAGAAGACCCAAAAAAATCTACCAGAAGATTTACAGAGCTGATAAAGTTAGTTAAGTAGCAGAATATAAGAGAAACATAGATAAATCAATCACTTTTCTAAACTCCAATAATGAATCTGCTGAGAAATAAATTAGGCAAACTATCCTATTCACAATAACATCAAAAAATAAAATAAAATCTTTGGGATTTGATACAACAAAGCAGTGAAGGACCTTTACAATGGAAACTATGGAACTCTGAAGAAAGAAATTGAAGACCTTAGAAGATTAAAAAAAAAAAGGCCTTCCATGTTCTTGAATAGGCAAAATTAATCTTATCAAATGGCCATATTACCAAAAGTGCTATACAGATTTAATGCAATCCTCATCAAAATACCAATGACATTCTTCACAGAATTAGAAAAAGTTCTAAAATTCACTTGAAAACATAAAAGATCCAGAATAGCCACAGCAATCCTGAGCAAGAGGAGCAATGTTGAAGGCATCACAATACTGAACCTCAAATTATATTACAGAGCTGTAGTAATGAAAACAGCATACTACTGGTACTAAAACAGTCATGAAGACTGATGGAATAGAAGACACAGAGAGGGGACCCAACATGGCCGCCGGCGAGGAGGCAGCACTTTCAATGCCTCCGCAGTAACAGGATCAGAGAGACCCATTAATACACCTACATGCGACCTGCTGAGAAACTTCTAGCAAAATTCCGCTGAAAGGAGACCTGCCGGGAATTAGTAAGTTTATTGGAGGTGTCAGTTTGTCCCAGACGAGTGAATCTCGGCAACGTAAAGCAGGAGCATAGTCCCTCCGGCTGCCGCAGAACGGCCGCTGCCCACATGTTGCAGCGAACGTACGAACCGCTGCCTGCCTGGGCCCCCACCGGCCTGGTTCTGTGAACCGCCTCTGGCGGTTCAGCGCTGCAAATGACCCCCCCCTCCCGCCAATTCGGCACTGCAAAGACAAGCCCCCATCCCCCGCCCTCGTGTGAACAGCTCCCGTCTGCCCGGCTCTGCGAACAGCCCTGCCCACACGGAGAAATCAGGAGTGGCATGGGACCCGTGGAGCAGAACTCCTGGCTACCGCTCCCACCAGTGCTGACAACTGAGGTCTCATGCACCAGCTTCCGGGGCGTGGCTACCAGAGGGCAACCAAATTCGCTGTGGGTTCTCAGCCCCAAGCTCTACAAACTTAGGGTCCGAGGGAATGGTAAACAGGGAGAGTGTGCCCAGGCGTTCATGAAAACAGGGCTCACAGGAGCAGCAGACCTGGCATGTAGCCAGTATTGTGGTGAGCGTCACTGGTGAGCGGGGCCTGGCTCGAGAAAAAGTGAGGAAGTGACTAGACACAAGAGAAGGCCCTAGGCACTCAGGATTGGAGACCCGAGCAGTCCGGAAGGAAGAGCTGCTGCACAGTGATTGGCTCCCGCCTACTGAGAGGAGAAGCTTGGCCCAGTGGGCACAGCTCCACCTACTGGAAGAATAGTTAATCGAACTCTAAGACTGCATTTATAAAAATTTTTTTTTAATTTTTTTTGATTCATTTTATTTTATTTCATTTTTTAAATTTTAATTTTCATTTTTATTACTTTTTTTTAATTCTTTTTAATTTTCTATTTTTTTCTCATTTTTTCTTCTTTTCTTCTGTCTTTACATTTCTTTTCAATTTTCTTATTCCCCCTTCCTTGAATTCTACCTGCTTACTCTCATTCTCTTTAGTGACTTCTTCCCTTCCCTTCTAATACCTTTCATCCCAAGCGTCAAATAAATTTATAGGAGTAAACAGTAACTCAGCAGTCAAACAGAACAAGAAGCAACATGAGCAGCATGAAAAACCAAGGAAGAAAAGGAGTACAAACAATGCAGGACAGCCTAAATATTCAGGAAGATATAGAGTCATCAGGAAAATGGTCATATAAAGAACTCAAGGA